AAACATAACGTGCTAATCACATTTATTACTTAGTTTAGGGACAAACTGTTTTAAGCAAGTCTTGGATCTCCTCGCTTACTTCGATCTGCTGTTGAGACAATCTCTCTCGCATATCAGGACTAGTCTTCTCTGCTGCTGCATAAGTCTTTATGAGAAATGTCATAGTTTCAGAATCAAGAGGTTTCCAATTCGACAAAATCTTGCAGAAATCTTCCGCTCCATCAACATCTTTAGCTTTCTCAAAGTGAAGGAAAAACAAGCTGACCAGCTCTGAGCTCCAGCCCCATTCGTCTTTGTTCTCTGCAGAATCAGAAACCGCTGCTTCCAAATGCTTCATAGCCAAATCCGCTTTATCGTTCTCCAACAGATGGATCATCAGAAGCTGTCTCGCTTTGGAGAAAGGACCTTTAGACTTTTTCATGGCACCATCAAGAATCTTCTCTGCTTCTTCATACATATTCCCTTTCAAATACGTGTTAATCGCGATATTAGCCAGCCTCATATCGTAAGCCCAGCATTTCGATTCCCACTCTGTGAAAATCTTCTTAATCCCATCTAAGTCGCCTAGTTTACTCATCGCTTGTAACATGACTAGATAGCTCAAGTTGTTGACCTCAGGACGAGCCTTCTTCAGCGATTCCCAAACCCTATAAACCTCAGGACCTTTCGAGATTCCAGCGTACAAACTCATGAGAAAATGGTGGGAATCACGGTTGTTAGGATTCATTTTCTCCTCCATAGATTTCAGTGCAGAATCCGCCTTCTCGTAAAGACCAGCTTTAGTGTAGATTGCAGCCAGATTAGAGAAAGTATTCCAAGTGGTTTTAGCTTCACTGTCTTTCCCCATCTCATCTATAATCTTCTCTAATCCATCTAAGTCATTCAAACTTCCACAGCTCTGCATCCATATAGAGTAAGTGACACCACAAGGAGATATACCCCTCTGTTTCATCGCATCAACCAACACAGGTACCTTCTCCGGTTGACTCAACCGCATGTACATAGACATCATGTTATTAAACGGTAACGAATTGTTAACAAAGTTAAGCTCATCCATTATCTCAAAATGAGCCTTTGCTTTCTCTTCCTCAAGTTCAACACAGTAACAGTTCATGAGCGCCCCATAAGTCGACTGATGATTCTTTGCAGAAGGATCTAAGTTGTTAAAGTAGTTCTCAGCTGCTTCTAAACCTTTAGTCTTTCCAATTAGATCCAAACAAATTGCATGATCAGACACAGAAAATGTCATTTTCCTCTTCTCCATCCAATCAAAGATCTGAAATTTCATCAACAATGGACTCAATCAAACTCTAACAAACTTAAAAATGCCATTTTTAATCTCTATCCATTCGAAAAAAGTGAAATTTCATTCAACAACGAGCATGACCCTAATTACACCCTAAAACTAGTGAAATCACTAAACCCTAAATCTAAAGCCAGCCCCTTTAAGAGTAATTTTCCATAGATAATGAAATATCTCCAATTTCAATGTTAAAATCAGATACTTGCTTAAGAGATATGAAGAGGGACCTCAAAAGCGTGTTGAGGTCGACGGAATTTGCGAAGGGTTTTAGCACAGCGAAAGAGATCGTCTTTTCTGACAGTAATACCCTCCATGATGAACTGATTTAACGTCTCTGCCACTGTTCCTCCCGTCACACTAAGCATAGAAAGTTTCTTGTACAACTCTCGCTGCCTTGAAGCCACCGTCGGAGCAGCAACAGAGGTTCTGACGCCATTCTCCGCCGCCGGAGAAGAAACAGAGGCTTCGACGACATTCGCCGCCGCTGGAGAAGAAACAGAGGCTTCGACGATGCCAGTCGCCGACGCCGGAGCAAATACCGTTGCACAGAACCTCTTGCCGAGGCGAGAACCGGAAGCAATCAGATTACGGAAATTCATTTTTGTTGTAAGGATCGATCAAAATCTATTTCTTCTCTAAACCTATCGAGGACAGAGTGAGTGACGATGGTAGGGTTTAAGGCAAAACTTTATGTCGTTTAAGATAGCTGAAAACGGCGTGCAGTTTACAGTACATAAGACTTGGTGTCGTTTTTTTACTTTAGTGTACTTTTGTGTAGTCTCTCTTAACTATATTATTTTTAGTCACGTATTTCATAATTATGTAAACACTAGTCACTAATCGACAGAATATGAATAAATCCACAGTAATAAGAAATTACAATGAATGTCAGTTTTTTAGAAGGATTACAAATATTTCTGTTTGAATGTCTTTTGTAACATTATCTTCTTCGAAAGATGAGATTTGTTTCATAGAGATTGTGATTTTTTTTTTTTTTGGTAAAAGGTTAAATTTTATACTAATTTTCTGATTTTTTCTGTACATTGTTGATACAACTTATTAAAAAGAAGAATTTAAAAAGTTTCATAGAGATTGTGATTTTTTAAAAAAGTTTAATCATGTATTTGGAATGGACCTAAAACACATAAAAACGGAAGACTTAGTTGATATGATAGTAAGGAACCGAAATTTAGTTTTTATTTTTGGATGAGAAATCAGAAAAAGAAACGAGTTTATTGTCAAAAAACATTTTTGTCAACTTTTGCACAACTTAAAGTGTTGTAATTTGTTTCGGCTCTGAAATAGGAACATATAATAAAATGTATATACAACTTTACCAATTAGTTAGCCGCCGAACGAGAATTTTTTGTGTAGATTCCACCACATTAATAAAAAATACGAATGAGTCTTCCATCAAGATAAAATAATGAGATTTTCCATAGCAAGAATGAGTCTTCAAGCATTAAAAATTGAAATCAGTCTTTTTCGGTAATACTGCTACGTCGACCGAATAAGAATATCGTCATCCACTATCATTTTAATCGTAATACACACTATCTATATCATTCAATGATTATATTGATAAGTTGTTTTTATTTTGTATGATCTCGGTTTCATATTAAGTAATGTCAGCTAAAAAAAATGTCATTTTAGTGAAAAGCCGTTATTTGTTTTTTTCTCTACAATCAAAAATAATTGCTTTTGTTGTTTTTTTCCCCTTCACGTATTCGCTTTTTGTTGTTGTCTTGATATCTAATCTAATTAAGGTGTAAACTATATGAAAAATTATACCAAAAACTATAGAAAAAGTTTCACTTAACGTGAAAGAAGCATCGTTTGATGAATGAAAACACATGAGAGCATGTATAAACGAACCTTCAGACCAATGAAAAAAAAGTCCACCGTTAAAGTCAAAAGTCAACGCGTTGATCATTTACACATCTATATAACAAACTCATCTTCTTACACCAAAACCATCAAGATCGATCCCTCTCTAAAAATGGCTCAACAACACTCTTTTCTCCTCTTATGCTTCTTCCTCTCAATCTCTTATTTACTATCTTCCGCCCAAACCGAAGCCACCTCAATCGAGAGATTAGTGCCAAGAGACCTCTACAACAAAATTTTCATCCACAAGGACAATACCGCTTGTCCCGCAAATGGTTTCTACACTTACGAATCATTTGTCCAAGCGACGAGGCGGTTTCCGAGATTCGGGAGCGTAGGAAGCCCCGTGACACAACGACTCGAAGTGGCTGCATTTTTGGCTCAGATTTCACACGAGACGACCGGAGGATGGGCAACGGCACCAGACGGACCGTACGCTTGGGGATTATGCTTTAAAGAAGAAGTGAGTCCACAAAGCACTTATTGTGATTCTTCTGATACACAGTGGCCTTGTTTCCCTAACAAGACTTATCAAGGAAGAGGTCCAATTCAACTATCGTGGTAGGTTCATTTTCACTAATAGTGGTCCGTATCTTCATTCAAATATATATTTTGAATTCTATCATTTATAGTTTTCGATTTGTATAAAACTATACCATGCAAGATTCCACATCGTAATTATATTATTTTCTAATTGTCATTTTACTTTTTGGGATATAAGGAACTACAATTACGGACCGGCCGGTCGAGCCTTAGGATTCGACGGTCTAAGGAATCCAGAAACGGTGTCAAATAATTCAGTGATAGCTTTTCAAACAGCACTTTGGTTTTGGATGACGCCACAGAGTCCCAAACCTTCGTGCCATGACGTCATGATCGGAAAATACCGACCTACGGCGGCGGATTTGGCAGCTAACCGGACCGGCGGGTTTGGTTTAACCACAAATATAATAAATGGCGGTTTAGAGTGTGGGATTCCTGGAGACGGACGGGTCAATGACCGAATCGGGTTTTTTCAGAGATATACTGGGCTGTTTAAAGTAGCAACTGGGCCGAATTTGGACTGTGAAAATCAAAGGCCTTATGCTTAAACAATTAATTTGGTTGACCCGAAATATGTATGTTTATAAACAAAAAGTCAACATGTATGTTTATGGCATTGCCCACACATGGAGCCATAAAAGGGGTTTATATTCAATAATGTAATTCAATTTAATGTGATTTGATGGTTTTGATTTCAACTACTACCTAATTAAAATTAATTCCCATGGTATTTCTTGATGTTTTTATTTTATCTCATTTTCAACAAAGAACCACTATGTTGGCCACCCTTTATTGCATGAAAGAATATGTTACTACTATGGTTTTTGCTTTCTAATAATAAGCATACGAAAAATTAATACATGAATCTCCATAAAATTTAATGTCTTTGTAGATCGTATTTCAAGTAAAATTAATATTTTGAATATTAAATTTTATGGTTTATGTTTGTTAATACCAAAATTAAGCAGAGAAGAAGAATCCTAAGCCAGGTGGAACAGCTGGTTTTGGGGGCGAGATATAAATGCGACACAAAAGTCAGACAAAAACCACTTGCTGCCTGCTACCCAAAGATTTAAGAGTCCCACTGGATTCTAAAACACACAACATCGATCCACAATACCACAGGCCCACTTTTTCTCTCTCTATATATAAAAGGCAGATAAGAATCACATGAGAAAACAAAATCTACACCAAAACCCTAAATATACAAAGCTTTTTCGAAGTTGATCATCAATGGCGTCAATTGTTCTTCTACTCACACAAATCCTTCACCCTACAATCTCTGAATTCCCTTCTTCTTCCTCCATAATTCTTACACCATCTTCTTCTTCTCCATCTTTCCATTACACGCATCAACAGAAATCTCCAAGACCCGACAGTTTCAAGATCTCACCTCTTCACGAAGATCCGCAAGATTCAAGAGTTATGATCGATTTGTTCTAGACTTAAACTATCTTTCTCCCGCTTTGTGTAATTTTTGCTCTTTTGGCCACAAGTTGTAAAATCACTTATGAGGATATTAATGGGAACCTTCACATACTTATGTCTTGTCAAAGTCTAATCTGCAATCTTAGTATCTAATTGGTTTTCGTTTAATAATTTTCTTACTTGTAAGCGGACCTATAAATGAAATCATTGGCTTGGGTAAGCCCCTTCCACACACCGACCCAATGCGACACCAGCAGCAACATATTTGCCACCAAAGAATATCCATCAATCATGACCAGATGATGAAAGACCACAGCTTCAGCAACTTTATCATCAAGTCACTCATCATTGGGAAAGTCTACAAATCCAACATGATTTAAGAATTAAGATAGTTTAAGTATGCATATTCAATCGACAAGCTTGTATATGGGAATTTTGGCGACAAAACATAAGATCCCAAACGTATCTACTTGAATTTGCACACAACTGGTTTCACAAATCCAAAAACTTAACAGAAAATTGGGGGAAAAAGACTGTTAGCAACATGAGATGGAGCAGTCATCGCTACACTTTTGCTCTGTACAGAGAATATCCCCTCAGAGTTTCATAAGTCGAGTTGTATCCTCTGCTATCCATCTTAGTAATACTTGAGAGCTTCCTTAACTTTGCAAGTTGCAACTCAACCTGCCCAAATAAAAAAAAAGATAATGATTTTTGCACTGTTCTCATTGAAAAGGGTGAAAGAAAACAGATTCATTAGCATATAATACAATACCTTGCAGAGATTGCCTCTGGCAACATTGTGATTCCTTTCCTGAAAGAACCAACTGTTTGGGCCCTTTGGCTTTGACAGAAGCGGCCTCAGTTTCCCATTCCACAACACAAACCTGGGAATGGGAAACAATATCTACCTGAATTACGCACACAACGACAAATGTAAATCCACTAAACCAAAAACAGAGCTTCTACCAAAACTCTTCTAGTAAACTTGCAAACAACGACAAGGCTTAAATCCACTAAACCAAGACAGAGCATTCTACTAAAACTCTTTTAGTGAATTTCAAACCACTAAACTATCAGATACAAGACAATTTGTTCTGTAGATAACTAATTTTTGCTTTCGAAATCATATACATTGGCTCAATTTAACGCTTCATGTAACAAAATCGAATTAAGCGAATTCGATCGAAACCACAATAGGAAAAGGGAAAAAAAAAAACATTTTTCCTCGCGTGTCAAGATACATACTCCGCTGAGGATCAGTCAATCCGCCGTCACGGTAATACCTCCTCCGCCTTCGAGTTTAGAAGATCGACGATTGATCAACCGGAAACAACAGAGATTAGTAGAATCATAAGCAAGTAACCGAGGACGGAGAAGAATTATGAGAGAAATGGCTGCGACACCGCCGGACGGAGAAGAGACATTTGATATTTCCATGGCGATCGCTACGAAAAGAAGAAGTAGAGGCCTGTTCTCAGTTTTGTCTAACATGTTTCACTCCTCATTGATGGGCCCTTAATAAATTCATATTTGGGTTAATAACATTACATGGGCTAACCTAAAAGCCCAGTAAAGATAACGTTCTATTTGGCAAAAAAAAAAGAAGATAGATAGATCATAGATGCTGCATTTAATGTACAACAAAAATAAAAATCGTCAATCAACCACTAGATTCACAAATAGTACTTCGTATAGTATATGATTCCCACCAAAACGGTGGGAACAAGAGAAAAATATTAAAATAAGAATCAATAATGCAAAGTTTTTCCATAATATCAAATAGATTGAACAGTGGGAAGTTGTAGATTGGAACGTATATTCCGAGAGGTCGTTGTCGTGAAGGAGATTGGAAACCTATGTAGTGGCTGTGGTTTTGCTTCGTCGCTCGCTAAGACACCAACAAAATATAAAGTAACCCGAGTGTCAGACATAGCACCATGTCCATCACGAGGGCATCACGTGAACGACACGCTTTTTCTTCTTCCTCTCTCTCTCTCTCTTTTTCGATTTTTTTCAGGCCCATTTGATTCAACGCTACAAAGTTAACATTCATTAGTCAATTGAATAATAATAATTAGTATTTTTGTTCTACTAATTCGAAATTAGAATTTGATACTGTTTTTTTTTTTTTTTTGATTGTTGATATTTAGTAACCAGGTCATTTTTGTTTATTCAGAATATGTTGTAATTATTGGAGTTTTTTTTAATTAAGGAAAATAGTGTGGACCTTTTTTATCAAAGATAGTAATAATGTGGACCATCGCACCTGCTCGGTGTATGGTTGATGATGACGTGACTCTAAAATTCCAATAAATGTGTCGTGGGGTTACAGAAAACAAAAAAACTGATTCGTTATAGGATTGGTTTAGAGCCCACAACCCACGTGGGATTTTGGATAAAACCCTAAATGATTTTTTTTTTTCAGGAATCCATAAATGGTCATGAAATGAAATGCATTCTCAGGCTGGAAATAATCGACCATTATATTATTGCACAAAAAAGTGAACTCTAGTATCATAACTCTGAAATTATTATGATTGCTGGTTACTGAATTTTGTAAGCCTTTCATAATAACGAATTTACCAATTGGGAGATCGAATAATCTTATCGTTGTTACAGACGATATTTTTTTGTCGATTATATTATGAAACTTGTGGTAGTCAACCTTTTTTTTTCCAAACGGAGACGTCATCTTTTTGTTTTTATATTTAGAGATGATCTGACCAAAAATAAACAAATAGACATCCGATATTTTACATTGTTATATATATATATAAAGATAAAGCTTAATGACGAGTATTCAATGATAAACGATAAGATTACGGGAAAAATAATTAAACGGATAAAAATGGCCCTATCCGTTGTGCATTACAGTTCTTGGTTAAGAAATACTATTAAACTGTCTCTCAAATCTCAATATATAAATGAATACATTCTATACGTACAAAGATAAATTTATCTCTATGTTCATGTGTCAAAGTGGTAGTGAATCTAGTGACGTTATTGATTAATCAAGATTACTTTTATCTTTCTGTGCAAAATTTCAAGATTACTCTAAAGTCGATATATGCTACTATGACGTAGTTTTGGGACAATTACGTATAGAATCATAAAAACAATAAGCAGAATAATAATCCATTTAAGTACATTGTGAATTTGTGATAATGGAATTATTTGACAATACTTTTCCAAAATAAAAACTAATTTAATTACTGTATTAATTATTTTAGTAAAACAATATTTTCATTACAATGTTTGTTGTGAATCCAAAAAAGTATTGTTTCCAAAGAACTCAAATGACATCAATATGTCTATAATAACCTCGTGTAGCTGTATGTTAGAATCTAGCCGAATTGTTTTATTGTTGTCGGTGTACGCAACAAACGAACCACACATACTTTGAAACGTGGCACAATATAAGTGGGTCACCAATGTAGCTGACAACTATACCATCTATCTGATCCGATCGCTCTTATAACATAAGCGTATGGGATACCATTTTCTCGGACAAAGCTGAAATCCCTAAAGAAAAAACACTTCTCCAAACTTTTCATCTCCGATATCTCTTTAACTAACATGTAAGTATAATTAAACAGGAGGTTTCAGAGTTTAGGTTTCTTGCCTTGTTATTCTCTTTATTTATTTCTTTAATAATTTATCAATGATTTGTATCGTAAACCCTAATAGTTTACTACTTTTTTCTTGGCAGGTCGAATAATCAAGCTTTCATGGAATTGGGATGGACAAACGACGTCGGATCACTTGCTGTGAAAGATCAGGGCATGATGTCAGAAAGAGCAAGAAGTGATGAAGATCGTCTAATCAACGGTCTAAAATGGGGCTACGGCTACTTTGATCATGATCAAACTGATAATTATCTTCAGATTGTTCCAGAGATTCATAAAGAAGTAGAAAATGCGAAGGAGGATTTATTGGTTGTTGTCCCTGATGAACATTCTGAAACTGATGATCATCATCATATTAAAGATTTTTCAGAGAGATCAGATCATCGATTTTATCTGAGAAACAAACATGAGAACCCCAAAAAACGTCGTATCCAGGTCTTAAGTAGTGATGTAAGTCGATACATAGATATATTTTCATGTTACCTTATGTATTATAATTTTTCACTGTTTTTAATTTTTTCTTTCTATAAATAAAATTAATTAATTTAGGATGAATCGGAGGAGTTTACAAGAGAAGTTCCTTCAGTTACTCGAAAAGGTTCCAAGAGAAGAAGAAGAGACGAGAAGATGAGTAATAAGATGCGTAAGCTACAGCAACTCGTACCTAATTGTCACAAGGTTGGTGTGTATATAGATCCTTCTATATAATGTTTCAATTTAACTATTGAGTGTCTAGTCTTTTCCGTATAAGTTTCCGCTACTTCCGTTGCATATATGAAGAAATCTTGCCTTAAGTTTCCAATTCTGATAACGGGTGGTGCTTTTTTACGGTTTTCAGACGGACAAGGTTTCGGTTCTCGACAAGACCATAGAGTATATGAAAAACCTTCAACTTCAACTTCAGGTCTATATTTAACTTTATTCACTATTTTTATTTCACACTTTATTCAGTGTTCTTCTTCCATATATTTGAATTATTGAGGCTTGAGGTTTTAAGTGTTTATCTAATAGTCTGAGTTTTTTTTTGGTTAATTTAACTAGTTGACATAAACTGTTCTTGGTATTCGATCTGACTCGCCAACTTATGAGATATGGATTATTGTTTTACAATATGGGTTTCAAATTGATCAAACAAATATAGCCACTTTTTGGTGTTTAGTGACGAAAAAAATGGAATGATATATAGTAGGCAGTAGATAACCTAGATGGTGAAGTCTATAGAATTTCTTTAATATTTCGAATTCATCTCTTTTCATGTGATTATTTAGTGCCAACTAAATGTTTTATATTTTATAGAACTATGTACCCATTTTGATCATTCGAATATGTATATGTGCTATTTATATTCAGAAACTAAGTTGTAATCAAAGTTGATGTTATAATTGCAGATGATGTCAACAGTGGGGGTGAATCCTTATTTTCTTCCGGCGACATTA